TTTTTATCTCATATACATCATATTAAAAAAGTGCTACAGTATTATTTTTTTTTTACAAAATTATCTCAAATAATTTACTATCCAAATACACTCATATTTTTACACACTAACACACTTTCACATGCACAAACACCTACTCACTTCTTAAGTTCCTTAGAAATACATCATAAATATAATAATATTTTATATTGCTTGTATTGTGAATTTTAGATAATAAATTGTACATTTAAATAGATTAGCTAAAAAATTTTGTTTTACTTTATACTTTTTAATACTAGTAATTGATTGAAACTTATTTTTTGTCATAACTTATTAACACTTTTACTATTCATATATGTTTTATTGTAAGTTGTAATATTCTATGTATTTAAATTATTGAATGCTAGATTATATTATGCTTGAAAATGTAAGTAATAGACATATAATTTGTTGTATTATAACATTGATGAGGAATTATTAACGATGAAATAAAACAAGTTAGAGAAAAGTAAAAGAATGTAGTTAGAACAAATTTAAAACTCTATTCTATGTACACGAAATATTAACAAACAGAAATAGGTAGCAACCTAAGAACAACCACAAAAAAAAGGGGAGGAAAACAACATACTCTTAAAAGGCATAATAAATTATTATAAAAGTTGAGCAAGTTTAACTATTGTTATAAAAGTAAAATAACTATGAGTTTTATTTCAAGTTTCTTTTTTTCTTTTAAGTAAAAATTTAAAAAACTGATTGAAAACATATATATGAGAATTTTAAATGCAAATTGGTCAATGAATTATTAACACATGTCAAAATGCAAGTGATTGGGCATATGTGTATTTACTTTCAAATAAGTTGGGCATTGGGTGCCTACATAAAAAACCCAATCAATCCAATGAATAGGTTGGATCTTTCTTACACAATCCAACAAAATCCATAACCCAATTGATCCAACCCCATCATTTTAAATTAATGAACGGGTTGGGCAGATTGTTGGATTTTGCGCTTTTTTGCCTGCTCTAGTAATGAGATAAAAGTTATGAAAATTAATGACAATGTATCTTTTTGTTTTAACTACTATCCCTTAGTTTTTTTTTATTACTGTTAGCATATTATCCCTCGATGTATAAGGTCTCAATTACTATTATTGTTAGCAAAATTAATGAGATAAAAGTTGATGTAAATTAATGATAATGTATTATTTTATTTTTAATAAATTATTTTACTATGTCTTATCTATCATCTATTATGCTATGGTCAAGATTTAGTCACATTACTTGTCAAATAGACTCAAACAAAGAAAAAAGAATGTTGTAGCTAAACCTTAATGAGACGTTTAAAAAAAAAATCCATAAATTGAGTCCAGTAACTAATTACTGCAACAAAACAATAATTACTAATAACATACAAAAACTTTTATAAAAGGGCAAGAAGCTCAAAAAGTAATTGAAATGAACTTGAGGGAGCCCGGTGTAATTTGATTAAAGACAGTAAGCGGTAAAGTTAGGATAAACAGTCTAAAACGGTAGCTCTGGAATCTGGGCGTTTTAAGTACTTCATCTTAGATCACACGGCGCTGGATCCTTCCCAGAAGAATTTCCTTTAGCCTGATAAGACCCACGATCTTGACAATCATCAGTTTCCCGGAACAAGAATAACAGCATTTGAAGGTGACAGAAAAGAAAATACTGCAAGACTACCACCCATGATACTCTTGCAGTCCCCTTCCAAGTATCTCTTACAGATCTTGACTACTCGCCTTGAAAAGTACGCTCTCTCATTTTTCTCTTCCCAATTGTGCTTCCCTTCAAAATTTTCCTTCTGGGGTCTTTGTTTTCTTGTCTATTTAGCAATTTTGAATGGTATCTGTTAAATTCAACTGTTCAATTTTATGTGACTGCGATAAAGTTTTGTTCTTTTCGTTTTGTTGGTCTTTTTTTCGTGGCTTTGGTAAAGGAAAGCGTACAAGAAATGAAGTACGTTTTTCCAAGCCATTTTGTATGGCTTTCATGGTTAGGACAAATTGTAAAGCTTCAAACTTGGGTAGTTTGAGGTTGTTTAAACCAGAAAAAGTGGGCATTTTGCTGTGATGCTTAACACTCAGGTGATTCTTCTTCTTCTTTTTTTTTTTTTTTGGGTTTTGCTAATGTCGCCTGGAAATGGGTCGAAAATCTTTTGAGGCAATGCAGGTACATTAGTGTGCAGTTTTTGGAGTTGTAGCTGAGACCTCAAAGCCATAAAGGTGGCCATTTTGGTTCAAGGATTTCAAGCTCTAGGTGCAGCTTTAACATGTATATCTGGTGTCCAGCTTTCTTTTCCTTTTTGCTTGCCTTTGACCTTTTAATCTAATATTTGATGTATGAGAGTGATGCAATCACTTTGATTTGTGTTTGGATTGCATTTTTCTGAATTTTTGTGAAAAAATTACTGTAGCGATTTGATGTATGTAAGATAAAAAGGTAATAGGAAATGTGTTCACGAAAACGTAGCATTTTTTCAACATCCAATGTAGAGGTAGGCTCTTTATTGTTTCATCCAATTGCCTTGAATTGTTGCATGACAGCCCATTTTTTTGACTTTTTATGCCTTTGTCTGCTGGTTCTCTCTTTAACTCCTCTTTCACCGTTTCTAATTCTCTCATGACCAGAACCAGATGCCTATACTGAATCAGAACAAAGTTTGCCCTCCAAAAGTTCACTAAAGATGTCATATTCATATGTTGTCTTTCGTAATCAATAATATGTTTTCCGTTACATTTGGGCTAAACTGACTATTGATGAAACTACTGCATTCTCCTTTTTTTTTTTTCCCCTTCTTTTTAATGCTTCCCTAAGTTAGATTTTTGCAAATTATAGCTCTGCTGAGATATTTTTGTATTCTTAACATTCAACATAACAATGCAAGTTTAGGTTAAAATCCAAAAACGTAGAGGTTCTGGATTCTAATCCCTCTGTTTTTTTCCCCATTTCTTAAATCCATTCCATCCCCTGTTAGAAATTTTTTTTTTTAAAAAAAAAATATAATAATGTAATAAGTTTAACTAAGCCAATCGGTTTGTTGTGATGCTAAATATGAATCAATAATTCAATATAAATATCCCCTAAAGCTAAATTGGTAGATTATCTTGCTGCCAACCACTTCAAAATTTACATTGATACCAAATTGACTTAAAAATTGCAGTTAATTCAAGTGCTTGTAAATTATTTCCGGTTACAATATTGGAATTCATCCTAAGTTTGTCCATCATTCACTTTTCTTCCTACTCCTACCACACGTTTTTTTGCTGTCACTGCATGAAAACTTTCCCCAGTTTTAAGGCTTTTTCTTAGCTTTTAAGTCTCAAAAATTTCTACTAGAAACTCCAATTCAGTTAAATATAAAGATACCCAAAACAAATATATCTCTATACCATTTCAAGGATAAATTATAGAAAACCTCCCTAAACTATCTCTCTCTTCTATTTTGGCCCCCACACTTAGTCCCCTGTTCTTTGCTTTGCCTATTCGTTCAAATGTACTACAAATCTTTTTTTTTTTTTTCACTTCTCTTTTTTGAACCTTCCACCCTTCTCCATACTTTTAGAATTTTTTCCAATTATTAGGTCCAAGATGCGAACCTTGGACCTGACAGTAAAGAAAGAAAATTCTAAGAGCCCTCTGCTGATCACTGCGTGCAATTCTTTAGTTATTCGTTATATAATTAAAAATAATTAGTTCCTAATCGTCCCTAAGTTTGAAACCATCTAGATTAATATCTCCATTGCCCTTCCTTTGGAGAAACTCAACACACTTGCTTTTACCACCCCCAACAGAGTTTGGTCTAGGTTGAGCACAAAGATTTGCTACGCTGCAAATTTGTAATGTCTAATTCTAATAATTTTTATGTTTTAGCTTTTAGTAACTCATGCTACCTCCTTTCAACCAATAGTCAATTTTTCCCTCTCAAAAGAAGTTTTTTCTAGTGTAAAAATATTAAATTTTTTGTAGATAAGATAATATCATTGTTGACATTTCATATTGAAAAATTGAGAGTGTGAGAAAGTATGATATCACTAGTCATTAATTACCACATAATGATGGTTTAGCCAGCCTATACTTGAGTTGATGATGGATCATTGGTAATTTGGTACTAATACAATACTTAAATTTGCCAAGTGCTGCAGATTGACCGTTTAATATTTTTCCCATAATTGATTAACACAATACTCCATTTTCCAACGTGAGTCATACGTGGACTGCTCACGTTAACTTCCCTTGCAGTCCAGGTTTCTACGTTTCCTTCTAATTTCCATTTTCTTTAATTCATTTTATATTTCCCCATTCCGGCGGGTTCCCTCGCCGACTTGCGGCGGCTAAGCAGCCAGCCATAACACTAGCTGGGAATAGGATTACTGTTTCACCGTCACATTCTTGCTGCAAATCTCCCAACCAACCCATCGTTATCGGAGACCAGAATAAGATCTTGTTGGCGTGACAGCCTTCTCTAGTCTGGCAAACAAGAAGGTAATTCTGATTCATCAGTTTAGTAACTTTTCCATGTTGGGATTTTCCATTTTCTTGTCAAATTTGTTAATTCTTTATTACCATGACCAGTTTTATCTTAACTGCTTAGGACCCTCCATAGTTCACCAAATTGTAGCTTGATGCTTATCTAGTACTCTTTAATATGTAGATTTGGTTCTGCAGGCAATGATGATTTTTTAACTTTTAAGGAAACCAACCATTGGAGGTAGAAAGCCCATGAATGGGAAATATTTTTTCTTACTGTTTTCTCTGATGGTATTATTCAAGATTGTTAGGTACCCCGATGCACTAAATAAATGATTGAGAAGAAAACAGTTCAGCATCTTCCTTTTCCACTTGCTCAGATTAGTGATGCTATTAAAAAGTTTCTAAAGTAGCAGCATTGATGATTATCTCATTTCTCTGACAGTTTTCAAGATATGATTACCTACATTGTTCTTAGTCTAATTGGTTCATTGTATATATTTGCTATAACATTTCTGCAGTGCTAGTTTGAAAATTGTGTTGTTGAGAATGGCCGGAGAGAATGGCAATGTGATAGAGCACAAGGCGTATGCCAGGGTGGGATTACTGGGAAATCCTAGCGATGTTTATTATGGGCGAACCATTTCTTTCAGCCTTGGCACCTTCTGGGCTTCAGTGCGTTTGCAACCTTCTAAAGAGCTTGTTATTGTGCCACACCCTACTCATGATTTGGTCCAATTTGAGTCCCTCTCTCACATGGTGAATCGGTTGCAAGCTGAAGGGTATTATGGAGGGGTTCGTTTGCTTATGGCCATATGCAAAGTTTTTCACAACTACTGCAGGGATGAGAATATCAGTTTACGCGAAGGAAATTTTACCCTGTCATATGATACCAATATACCTCGCCAGACAGGGCTATCGGGGTCTAGTGCCATCGTCTGTGCTGCTCTTAGCTGCTTTTGGATTTCTATAACGTGAGGCATTTGATTAAGGTTGAGGTTAGGCCCAACCTTATTCTTAATGCCGAGAAGGAACTTGGCATTGTTGCTGGTCTCCAGGACAGGGTGGCACAGGTGTATGGGGGGCTTGTTTACATGGATTTCAGCAAAAAGTACATGGAAGAATTGGGGCATGGAAATTATACGCCTATGGATATTACTATTCTTCCACCTCTTTATCTTGTCTATGCCGAGAATCCGAGTGATTCTGGAAAGGTGCACAGTACAGTTAGGCAGAGATGGTTAGATGGTGATGAGTTCATCATATCGTCAATGGATGAGGTAGCTAATATTGCTTTGGAAGGGAGGGCTGCATTGCTTGCAAAGGACTATGGCAAGTTGGTGACTCTCATGAACCGTAATTTTGATCTGCGAAGGAGCATGTTTGGTGACAATGCACTTGGTGCTCTTAATATTAAGATGATTGAAGTGGCACGAAGGGTTGGTGCTGCATCAAAATTCACTGGGAGTGGAGGTGCTGCCGTGGTTTTCTGTCCTGACGGACCTTCACAAGTAGAGCTTCTGGAGGATGCATATCACAAGGCTGGTTTTGTCATTGAACCGGTTAAGGTTATTCCTTCTCTTTTAAATGATATCGATCTCAAGTCTATATCTTCAAAATAAACCTGCAGAAGTAGGGATGTTACTTTCCATTATGTTCCATAAAAGCTTATACAGCCCAGAGCAAGCTGGGATTTTTCCAGTTTCTAGTGAACATTTATACGTCTTTGAATCTCTGTCTGTTGCCATTGTCGAAAAAGGAAAAACATATCTTATCTTGGGGAAATCTGGATTACTATTCTAAATTTCTAAGTGCTCTGTATTTTGGCAAATTACAAATGTTAGGATACTACATGTAGCATTTTTTGCTCCCTTTCTTTTCCCTTCTTTTAATGTGGGTGAGCCAAGGATGGAGGGTGATAGTGGTTGTTGGGCTACTCAGAAATGAGATCCCTCCTCTTAACTAGGATGCCAAAAGATGAAGTTACTGATGGTAAGCCAGCATCAGTCACCAACTTCTGGAGCGAGTGGCATTTGGCCTTTAATAATAAATGACATAGCTTGGTTACTTTGTCGCCACCAAATGCTTCTAGCTGTTCTCCTATCTGACCGTGATCAAAAGTCTTTCTGGAGGGGATTGGCACTCTGGCTTGCTTTGACCATGGATTTTAAGTTGCTGGTATGTGATTCTGCAGATTTCAACCATGGTTTGAAGTACCAAAATATCTTCTGCCACTTTGGACCATTACCCATACCTTAAAGGCTTAAACTTTGGTTATGAACATATCGAGTTATTAGTGTGCGTAAGAGGTATCCTGAACCAAGGATAATTGCAATAAAGATGAAAGTTAATCTTGTTTTAAAATGTGAAAGAACCAATAAAATGGGGCAGAGTCTTTAGATAGAAAGAACCAATTCTAAGGGTACATAGAAACCAAGATAAGAAGAAATAAGGCAAGGCAGCTGATTTGTACAGAAGCAAATTAAGAGTGTTTGATGATGGTGACAACAAAACCGAAATAGCTGGCTTATATTCCCCCCCGGGACCTTGCTCTGGTAGTTATAGGGTAGCTGGCCAAATGAGTTAGGTAGCAAAATCGGCCGTAGAATAGAGTATATCAATACAAGTGATCATCAAGAACAAGAATTTGGCGAGGTCCAGGGTGGAAATCTCTGGTTGGAAATCATTTTCTGCATCCATCAAATCCTGGTATTGTCTGCCTGCTGATGGGAGGAATCCCAGCAGCCAAGGAATGTATGTTGAGCTATTCCAACATTGGCTCGGCAAGCAGAGGCAAAAATGTGATGAAGTTGGAGACTCTTGACTTGGCATTCATCATCTCCATTGATGTTTAAAGAAAATTTTCATTCGGAATCGCTTTCCAGGCTCTCCATTCCTTTCAGTCCCCTTCGCTTCTGCTGCAAGGTAGATGCAAGTTAGATGGACCAACAACAAATCACGAGTTCTTCTGTTAGAAGTTCAAACTTCAGAAGTTTGTGCGAGTATCTTAGACCATGCAAACTGATATAAAACAAAAAAGCCAAGATGTTATTTTTCATGTTTGAGATATTATTGCTTTTTCCATTCATTCAAAAAAACTATAAATCTTTCTAATGGAAATGGGGAGAATTCACCTCACATACCATATTCGTACGCACATTACAATTATTATCCTCCTTGCATTTATATACTTTCCCTTTCGGCTTCGACCACCATCGAACCAAGGCATATCTTTAAAATCAGATTTACTAACACAATCCTCACATTAATACTAGAACGATCACAGTCTATTAATGTAATCCTCACATTAACAATAAAATTTAAAAAAAAAAAAAACATGCCTTTTTTTTTTTATAGGAAATGATCCAAACCCTGTGAGCCGTCTAAAGTAGCGCTGCAAACTGAAAAATGATTGGACAACATTCGCTAGACTAGTCCAAGGGCTAGACGGGCCAAGCCTTAATTCCATTTAGGTAGGGTCACGTGTATAGCCCAATTCCTAACTATCAGAGAAAACCCAAAGCGCCCGTAGTCAGTCTCCATCAGCGTCCATATTTCCTTTGTTTACTTTTTAGGTCTAACGTAAAATCCACGAGAAAGGAAATGGGGACTCGGTCTCTCTCGTCAGAATGGGTAGCTGTCGCACATGGGCCCAATCCAACTAATGAATAAGTATTTGGAATTAATTACTAAGCATTTTTTCTATATAGCGTTCAAGACACATGGGGTCCACGACGCTTAAACATTAACAGTAGACCGTTTGAACACCTTTTTTTTTTTTTTATCTCATACACAACAACAGATCAATATACGGAAGATAGCAATCCAAACAGAATTAAGAAATGGAACTTAAATGAGTGATTATCAACCAATCTCTTGAGGATTAGTGAGTGAACAATAAACCATTTATTTAATTGAAGGTGCTTAGATTATTCCAAAAAAAATATTTTTATTTTTTTTTTGGGAGTTAGAATATGATTCCAAAATAAGTGGATAAAATTTCTCTGTTCTAATTCGTGAATCCACATGCCAGGCTTTGGGATTGGTGAATCCACATGTCATAAGATTAAAATTTTAAAACAAAACATTTTGTGTATTCAATCTAATTTTATCACACATAATAAAAGGTTTGATTGACTCCAACCTTTAAAAAAAAAATGCTACGAAATTTGCCAAGAAAACAAACGTCTGACTCTCCTAAGGCGCGTGACACGACGTACATTGATTCCTTCAAAACTTCATGGACGCCATTTTTGTTCAATTCCAACCAACCATCCATCCATTCTCCTTATTTTTTTCTAACCAACGGAGGAAGGATGAGATTTAAGACGTGAGATTTAAGATGTGAGAAGGAAGCAGGAATTAGAATTCAAAAACTCTTATCTACTTTCTTTTTTTTTTTTTTTTTTTTTTGTCGAAACGATAGATGATTATCTACTTGCTACTTGCTAAGTGTGTGTGTGTGTATGTGTATGTATATGTATATACATATACATACATATATACATACATACATACATACATACATACTCGTTGCTGAGTTAGCCTGTCGACCACACCTAGGTTAACAATAGATAAATAAACTAAGGAATGAATTTATTACCTTTCTGGGGCACTTTTTCTCCCTAACTTCATATCGACCTCTGGTCAGGTCAGAAAGCCACATCCCAGGAAAACAATACTGCCATGCCATCAAAGGAGAAACAAAAAAAAATTGCATTTTCATTAGAAAAGAAGTGTGTTTTTTTTTTCTTCTTCTTCTTCTTTTGGGGGGGTGATTGAGAACATTCATCAATCACTGCTACATACTAAAGGAGACCAGGAAGAAAAAGATAAAACTGGCTGGCAGCTTAAGTGGAATGATAGAAAGATGATGATTATACCTGGAGTATTCTATCAATAGTTTTGGGCCTTTTTTTGGGTCTGTGAGGAAGCTTGGTCCCTTTCATTGCTAGAAAATCCTCTTCTTTTTCCTTTCTTGAAAGCGGAATGTAAATCCTAGGCCACTCATTCACCTCACTGCCACCGCCATTATTCAACCTTTCTCCTCCTCCTGCTGCCGCCGTGATTTTCGCCGTCCGAACAGCATTGGTATTGTCATGGTTGTTATCATCATTGATGCTGCAACCCCAGCTTGACGCGGAGGAGAGACAATACGATTTACGTCTCCGACAGCAGCAGCAGCAGCTGCTGCTTCTTGATTTTGTTCTTCTTGCTGTGCTGCTGCTACGGAGCAGGCATTCGTCTTCTCATCCCTGGCCGAAGCAGAAGACAGACAAGGGGTCTTTTTATCAAGCGAAGGAGACCTTTTTCCTCCTCTAGATCTAGATGCAACAGCCCTGCTGCCACCGCCACCACCACTACCGGTTGGCGGAGACTTGCTGCCAACAAGTCCCGATCGCTCTTCCAAATTCCGCCTGTTCATGGCCCAAAAGTCACAAAGTTTTCTTTTTTTGTTTATAGAGTCGAGCAAGACAGGTGATGACACTTGTTGATTTTGGTTGGTTGGTTGAAAACACAAAAAAAAAATCAAAGAATCTCAAGGAGTCTGCTACTACAGAAAAGAAAAGCAAAGGAGAGTTGTGTACTCACAATATATATATATATATTGTTGTAAGTAGTACTTTATTACGTTTAGTGGTATTGCAGATAAATCAAGGGCAGGGCAGACAACAGAAAGTACACTCTTTTAATCCCCGGCCACCTAAAAAGAAGAAAAGCACATACAAACCATCCAGATACACTCACTACTCGTATTCAAAGCAGGTACTTGCTGCCATCATAACACCATGGAGCCAGGAATTTATGCACAAGAATTTAAAGTTGAATAGTAACAATGGTAAGAAATCTTGAAAATCAGAACCAAAAAAAAAAAAACAACAATTTTAGAAAAATGGAAAACCTGCAGAGGCATGCCAATAGTTTCAAGAGAGAAGCATCAAGAAATTCATATTCATATTCATGGATTATCGCCTAAGACTTGTTGGTTGTTTTATTGTACTGTCTAACGGAAGAAAGGGGAAGACCGGGTAATCAAGGTCTTGGTTTTGGACTTTGGAGGCGCACAACACTTGACGTATGACTACTTGACAGATTGATCAAATCAGATGAATAGGGGATTCTGCATCCACTTTTTAAAGGGTAGAACAGGTAATCAATCAAAAAGAAAGAAAGGGAAAAAAAAAAAAAAAAGTCTTTTGCCTCATCAATTTGGCCGGATTTAGTGCATCCAACCATAAGTAGTAGATCAACCACAATACCATATAGTAGTGTACTAGAAAACAACAACAACTACTTCTTTATCGAATACTTGAAACAATCTTAGCCCCAGCTCCAGCGTATGTACCCCTCACACCATCCATAACCACACAACTGGGGAAAAAAAAATATGTGGAAGAAGAAAAGAAGCAAGAGCCTTTTTCTTTCTCTTTTTTTTTTTTTTTTTGGCCGACCCAAGAAATTTTTTTTTTTTTTAAATTTACCATTCCAAAGTGGAAGAGTTCAAGCCAAAATGACACGGCCAGAAAAGCAATTCAAAATGCAAAGTTTCCTCTGCTTGCTTGTGAGATCTGATTCTTCTTCTAAACACGGCAGGTAGAATTGGAAAAATTGAATGCCTGATAGTAGTAAAAGGTTAAGCAGTCAAAACAGTAAAACTGCAGCCCCAAGCCCCACCTAAAGAATTGCAGAGAGAAGGTGGTTACCTGACAGGAGAAGGGCTGGTGCTTTTGGATGATGTTTTGTGGTTTGATCCTCTGGAAATCCCATTGGAAGAAGGGAGTGAAGGTGGAGGCATAGCATTTGCGTTTGAATTTGGGAAGATGATGAGTGAGGAGGCACCAATCTCCTTTGGAGCTTGGTGGACTGAATAGTTGATGTTGATGAAGATGTGTCATCTGTCAATGCCATGCCTCTAGAGCACCTAGACCTCTTTCTATGCCCCCACTGCAGAAAAGTATTATTATCATTCCCACCACCCCCAACTACTCCATTGCTGTCAAGATTTTGATGATTCCTGCTGTTACTAGCAGTAGGTGGAGAATTAGGAACTTCAGCCTCATCACCGCCAATTGCACTACCATTTCCATTGCCAATATGGTGGTCTTGGGAGGCCTTAGATGGAGATCTAAATCTTGTTAGGCCCTTGCCTTCAAAGTTGGAGCTTGTTTTTGTTGTGATATGGCCATTGCTTTCCGCTCTGTCCTCGACTTCCTTGCTAGTTTTCCAGCTCGGAGTTGAAGTTGAGTTCGTTCTTCTTCCATTGCTCAATGGTAGACTATCTGGGATGACCCTCTGATACCTGTGATAACCATTTTTAGCTCAGGTTCAAAAGAACAATCTTTGATGGACAAAAAGCAGATCATACATACGAATGCATCACCAGCAACCAAAACTAACATACACAGGAAATCCAAAACAGAAAGAGTGAAGAAACACAAGAATAAGATCTCGGGTAACAAACGAGATTGCCTCAAAACAGATTTACGATTACGGTATGAAAAGTAACCTGCTTTTCAAGATTTTCTTTCCTTCTTTACGTTCAGAAATGGTCTATATTCTTACCAACTCAGAGTTCATGACTCAGCACCAGAGTCACAAGGGAAGTGGAAAAGATACCAGAAACAGAATTTCCCTCAAGGAACGGATCATCACATCCAACTCCTTAGCATGGAAAAAAGAATACCATAAAAATATGGCATCTTTGACAATCAACAAAGATTGTTCTTCAAACACAGAGGTACGAGGAGGTAGAGCAGAGGAAGAAGTAGTCTTTCAGAAAAACAGAGGCCTAACCAGTAACCGGTGTAGGGTATATGAAGGGACGCGGACAGCACATCCAGCAAAACAGAAACAAAAACCCAACGATTAAAATTGAAGGAGTAAGAAAACAAAGCAAACTAGGCCTAAAACTCCCAAACCCATATCTCTGAGACCAATTCTTGATGAACTCTAATCAAATTCATCCTTAATTCTGAACCAGAATCCACAGGCTTTCAGGTCACCTACATTTCCATCGAAGAAACATAGTGCTCTGCAGCCGACTAAGATTTATATGCACCTTTCTAAGAGACTCATGTTCTCCAAACAAGAAAAAACCCTTTCGTTCATGATCTGCTAACACAATCTCCAAGTGAAAATATAAACCAAAATAAGCAAATCAGGGAATAGTCCCTTTGCAAGAAGCGTTTCAAGGTATTTCTCAACTCAGAGCAAAAAGGGATCTTTAGCATTGTCCAATCAAGAAGCTGCTACTGTGAAGAAGATGATGATTGGTTAAACTGATATAGCTCTGCCTCTCATCTCAAATAGAGACAGAGGAAGAAGATAGGAGAGAAAGGACCCATTGATGGATTAATTGGCTAGACAGATTAACAGTAACCGATCTCAAGACTCAAACTTGAAGAAAGAACAACCAAAAACAACGGCCAAAACAGATGATTTTCTCACATTCAAGAACACAAAATTCACGGCTGAGAGAGTTCATTGTAATTCCCATCAAAGCATACACGAAAATGGGGAGAAAGAGAATTGGAATATGGGATTTGTTCCCACCTCATGATCATGTACACACAGACAAGAGAAACCCACAAAACACAATACAATCCAGCTGCTTCAGTTGGTGAAACCGATTGACTTTATTCTGTTTTAGAATCTAGAAAGAATCCAGCATTAGTCCTCAGTACAGAATAGAGTTGGAAGAGGAAGGAAGGATGGTTTTTGTAGTACTTAATTCTCTCCAATGGTGTGTGGTTCACTCCTCTTCATGATATCACAAGAATCGAGAGAGAGAAAGTACAGAGGAAGCAAAAAAGAAGAGTGGGGAAGAGAAGACAAAGAAGCGAGAGAGAAAGAGAGCTGCAGCAGGAGAGGGAGGAAAGGGTACAATATCAAAATATGGGTTGAAAAATATACACTTAAAATACACTTAAGTTGGTTTTAAGTGATTTCTCTATATTACCCTCTTCTGCCCTATATTTTTTTTCCTTTTTCGGTAGGATTAAATATGGCAATTGAGGCGAGTATCCGTGAGATCTAATGGAATGAGGCAAAATTGGTGAAAATTTTTCTCCTATTAAAAAATGGGTGGGTGGCATACCCCCCATCCCTCCTGGTCTCACCATCCATTAAAAAAATTATATATATAATTTAATTAATTATAAATTTATTATTATAAATGTATATTATTTGAAACAGTTACTGTAGCACTTTTTTATGATGTGATATATATGAGATAAAAAGTAATTAGAAATATAAAAATGTGAATTGAAAAATATGTTTACGATGGAAGTGAAATATTATTTGGGATAATTTAGCAATCCAAACACACTAATTGGGAATATTATTAGTTTTAAATACTACATAATGTGTATTAGTATATATAATAAAATTAATGTTATCAATTATATTAATAATTATACATATTTACTAATTAAAATATTAATTAGTTATGCTAAATTTACTGATACTTTTATACTAAATTTCTAATCACACTTAATATAATAACATCTTTTTTTAAAAAAAAATGCAACAATAACTTGATGATTGTATTTGTCTCAAAAGTAAAATTAGACTATTTTAATTATCTTTGTCTCATCACATTATATTGTATTCAAATAATTTTATTTTAATTATGAATTTTAATTATAAAATTGTAATAGATAATAATTGGATAATATCTTAATATTTAAATACTTGATTAATGACTAAAATTTAATTATAAAACAAATTTTTATTAACTCGCACAGGCGGAGCAAGGCGAGGGACCGGGAGGTGGGGGCGGGTCCCTACCCTCGCCAAGCCCGCCCTGTTTTCATATTCCATTCCGCCCTTTGGCCCTTTGCTTATGTTTGTCTGTGTGACATTCAGTTCTCTTTTTCTTTTTTTTTTTCTTGTTTTATTTTTTTTACTACGATGTGGCACCTTTATATTTTGAGTATGCACCAGTTCAATTCATGGTTTGAAGAAGGTACACGGTACTAATGCATCACTCCAAAGTCTCCAATTAGAAGAGCGCACCAAGTTCACTTGTTTTGGAGATTTTTTTTTTGAAATATTCTCTATACACATTTTTCTTAATGACGCTATTATTTCACATATATCATACCACTACAGTACTATTTATTTATTTTTAAAACTCAAAAAAACTCGTAAAAAATGCAGCCCAAACAGGTTGCTTCAAATAGAGCTGCAAACGAGTCGAGTCGAGTCGAGTTTTGGGCTAATCGAATCGAGTCTCGACTAAATTTTACCAAGCTCGAGCTCGACGAGTCGGCAATTTAAAGCTCGAGTTCGACTCGAATCAATTCGAGCCGAGCTCGAAAAAAAATAAAAATAATTATTTTATTTTTAAAAAAATAAATAAAATAATATTTTTTTCTTAATAAATAATAAAATATTAAAGATATATATATGTAATTTTACTATTAAAATAAGAAAATAAAATATATATATACACTTAAAATAAAAATATATATATACTTAGAGTAAAAAAATAAAAAGTATTATATATATATATATACTCGAACTCGCGAGATAACGAGTTTAATATTTTAAACTCGAGTTCGAGCTCGATTTCGACACGAGCGCTTGATTCGTTTGCAGCCCTAGTTTCAAGATAACATATGAAGACTCCTTACTTGTAGGCGAGCTTTGGCCTTTGGATTGCTTTTTCTTTCATTCTTTTGTTATTTATTTTCTTTTCGTTCATTTTTTATTTGAGTGCAATCAATGGAGAAAGGAAGATGATGTGTTTTCATTAGGGTAAGGCTCACTTTTATTATTTTGTTTTAAATTTTCTAACCATTTCGCATTTTTTATTTTCATGAATATAGGTCAACATGTAAGAATCATATTCATCGAAGAGTATCTTGTCATCAAATTTGCATGAAATGATTTGGATGGAAAAAATGAGTTAAAATTTATGGAAAAAGATAGAACTTAACACAAAACTTGCTTAATTAACCACATTTGATGTATGTTATTTACAAAAAAAAAAAAAAGAAGTAATGACGTATATCCATGGTCCACATAGAAATGTGATTACGATATCCATTGGTCCACTCAGAAATGTTTGCTTGCAACGTAAATTGGAGATAGGATAGATGACGCACTGCCATTGTGAATTAACGTTTTCCTTTTCTCGTCATGTCTGACTTAAGTCTCATTATTGTTGATATGTCAAGAAATTTCAACGAAAATCACAATATAAAAAGTCCATTTGGATTGGTCTATTTTTGAAAAAAAAAAGATTTTCAAATACAAACAAAAACATCTTATGTATATAATGTATCAAATATTTCAAAAAACATTTATAGTAAAGTTTTTTATATACACTGTTACAGTAAAATATTTTTAAAACACCTTCAAAAACAGTTAATTCAAATTTTCATATACACTGCTACGGTAGAGTATTTCCCTCAATTTTAATTTTAGTATTGTGACATATCTGGTTTAATTTGACGCCATTTTATATCTGGGTCTTGCCCCCCCCCCCCCCCCTTTTTTTTTGTGGTATAGTCTTCTGGGGTCTTTCGCGGAAATGAAGAGGATGTTTCTTTCTCAGCCTCAAAGAATTCCTCATGTATCTTCTTTCTTTATAATAAGAAACCAAAGTAAACATTCATCACTATTGAGATTCAATGGCATAAGAAGCTAAGCTAAAGAAAAGCTTTATTACAAGTTACGTTCTTGGCATTTTATCTGGACATCTTTCCTTGGCAATTTCAGTTAGCCGGAATCTCTCTTCCTCAGCCTCAATTTGGCTCCCCTTATACTCCTCTCATATTCTAACCAAAATAGTGAAGACATTGCAGTTTTTAGTCCAAGATATCAGATAATTTTAACCACCTAAAACCTCTTCTTCTCGAACTTCTCTTCTTTTTTGTCAGTATCACAATTATAATTTTCAATTAATTTTTTATTTTTCTAAAACCTTTTTATCTCACAGATGTCACGTCGTGAAAAGTGTCATAATAATTATTGCAAATAACCTCCTATCCAGACACACTCATTTTCGGCTTAATATCGGCCGAATTCCCGCCTTTGAAGCTGAACCTCCCTGAGTTGTATGTAACACCATATAAATTCGGCTTTAAAGGCTTTCAATCTTTGCCCTTGTATGTAATGTAGCCAATGTATTGCTATTGCATCTGAAAGGTTTGTAGTATGAGGTTGAGGCCGATTTCCTATCGAAATTCACTCCCTCGCTTCCGTATCTGTTGACCATTTTCTGTCGTAAGAGGCCCAGCTTCTTTCCTTAACCATCCTCAGCACTGTCATGGTAGTATGCATTTTCTTGCCGTCAAGAATTCTAGACCTAATAAAATAGGAAAGTCAAGGCCAACCAAAAGAAAGATAAAGACATCAGCCTGATTGACTAGCTTGCCGGAGAAAAGTCTTCTTGCTGTCGATTTAAACACTCTTTCAAGCGAAGTATTTGGCTTTATATTATTGTCGTGGCCTATCAAGCAATAAAGGAAAGCTGAATCTTTCTCTGCCAATGCATTTCTCAGCACAGCTGGAAAGGAACTGCTGAAGATAGTGCAAGCACAGATGCCACCTCTCAGGACAGTGGTTGAACTTAAAAAAAGGGTTACTTGAGGGTTACCTAAAGAAAAACCGCGGCAGCATCCAGGGAGCATAGCCATAACTTTATTCAGTTGAGGAAATTGCACCTGAAATGAGCTTCTACCTGTTTAAATTGGCTTGGAAAGTCATTAATCGCCACACTCTTCCATGGTGAAGCTAATTGTGGACTTCCAATCTCATCAAACTGTAGTTCTTATGGGTGAAACGAAAGCAGAAGTAAGAATTATTGACATAGCACAAAAAAATTAACCTTTTGCACCATTTTTAGCTTAAAGACATGGAATATTTTCCTGTTAAAGAGCAGAAAAGCACAAGGTGTAATATTGAGAAAGCTCCTTGAGTGTGCAATTCAATAGGAAAGCTCAGATTGAATTGAAGCCTGTGGCATTTATCAGATTACAAATTTCTCAGATAGCAGACGTGGCATATGAAATTGAGGGACTACAATCAACGTATATAGCTTTAGTATACAACCAGAGCTAATGCTA